TAAGCTAAAAGCCTTGTTCAATCCTCCATTCTTCAATTCTTTCATCTCCTGCTCCAACTTTAAAATGTCAACCTTCAAGTCAATGATCTGAACCTTCAAGTCCATCATCCCAATCTTGGGCACTTCTAGTGACATTCCTTGAACCGCAGGAGCAACAAAAGGGCCCTGTACACCTTCCACTTCCACATCCCTGAGCTTGTCTGGATGATTGGCGTGCAGATAGGCTAGGTATTGATCCTCAAACCAATAGTTCGCACAAGTGTCATCGTTCTGCAATTGACAATCAAAACCCCAACCCACTTAACACTATTTGTAGCTGGATGAACATGGAACCCAACATCAAAGGAAAAGCAAGACAAATTACCGGGAAATTGTTGGGGAAGTGTAATAGATATTGCCAGCCTTGGTCTTTCGCCTAATGACCTGGATCTTGCATTTGGGGCAATCGATCCGTGGGAGACCACCAACCTGGCTAGCACTTGAACTAGCAGCTGTGGATGCCATCTGCGCTCAGCAGATGGGGCGGGAAAGGAGCAGCAGTAGTCGCGGTCGATGCCGGCGCCCTCGATAGTCGAGGTCGCCGCCGCCGCGAGCAGTAGTCGCCGCCGCCGCCGGTCGCAGTCGCCTCCGCTTAGCAGATGGGGCGGGGAAGGAGCAGCGGTAGTCGCGGTCCACGCCGGGGCCCTCGGTAGTCGCGGTCGCCACCGCCGCGAGCAGTAGTCGCCGCCGCCGCCGCGAGCAGTCGCCCGAGGTGGACTGCCTAGGGTTCGAGCGAGAGAGAGAGGAGGCGGTGGGGAATTGATGGATTCAGTTGATTGAGTCGATTGAGTCGAACCGGCGCACATGTATGGACAATCTGGGGGCAACACAGTCCATACCAATGTACGTAACCCTTGTATACACCTGCATGTGGGCCAAACGTCACGGCAAGTGTATAGAATGGCATTTTTCAGACTCCAGTGCAATTATAATGGCACTCTTACAATAAGCTAAATAGTAATGGTATTTCTAAGAAACGCGATAATTATAATGGCACCAATCCGATTAACCCTTTTCCTAGAACGCCTTTCACCCCTGTGTGGTGAAGGCTTCACGCTTCGATTCTTTGCGCCCCACCACCCCACTCGGGAAAAAAAAACAGAAACGCCCTGCTCCCCACGCCTCCCCTCCCCTCCCCAGCCTCCGCCTGCCACCGCCCCTCCCCTCCCCATGCCGCTGCCCCGCCCCTGCCAACACCGGCGGCCCGACCCTGCCTGGTCATGCCGCCGCCCCTCCCTCCCCCGCCGACCCCTGCTGCCTCCCGTTCGGAGCTAGACATGGCAGACGACGCTGCCCCACCATCCACGACAGCGAGGCCAAACAGCCGCCGGCGCGCCCTCGTGACAGGTAACCCCGCCCCTCTCCTCCCCTTTAGACCCCAATCGCTCATCACGATCTCGCGCTTCGCTTGCACGCGGCGGCATTTACCGCCACACGGATCTGGGCTGGTACTCCCATTTCGAAGTGTTAATTCGTTAGCGATTATGGCGGGCGTGGAAATTGCGTTGTTCTGCCACGGTAGATCTACTGCGGGTAGTAGTGGAGAGCTGCCGGATTGAGCCCTTCCCCCATCGCCGTCGACGGGGTGGGTAACAGCAGCTTTCCCTCCGTAGGAGTCGCGTCGCGTTTCGATTAGAGTCAAGACGCGTCTCACTTCTCAGCACACTCTGCTCGTAATGGTAGTGCTTCTGGACCGTAGGGACTTCCACTTTGTGACTGGGGTCTGATTGAATCCAATTCTTCACTTGATCAATCAGTTACTCCTGGGATTTATGTGCTGCGTGGTTTGCTTAGGTTCTACACTTCTACCTGTGGCGCGTTGTTGATAAGTTGCCAAACATTTGTGGCTGTCCCTTGAGTGTGGCGGTCACTGTTAACTAGGTCGTCCAATACTTGTGGAATTTTGTGTAGGGAGAGCTCACAGGTATCCACACTGTAGTGGATTGGATTATCATTTGTCAGATTGTGCTGTTGTGACTTGACTAGCTGTGGATGATTACTGATCTCGTGGAACCATCTGAATTTCAACTTCCATTATTAATTATGTTTTTGCACTGTAGTTTTTTCACTTGATCATTGTTCCATGGACTGGTTGACTACACTCTGTGTCATCTATTTGTTATGGAAAATGCTCCAAACAATCACCAGAGATACTCTTTAACTATTTTAATCTTCACCTGTTAGGAATGAACTGAAATTCGTTTAAGTGCCTTTTTTCTGCCAATAATCTATGCAGGTTAGAAGGAGTGAAAATGTCAGAAAGGGCTTTGAAAGATCTCAATATTTCTCAATCAGCAGACCTGCCAATGTAGATGCCTTTTTAGTTGATATATAAATATTTCTATCTGGAGTGAAACAGATACTGAGAGATGTGAAGAGGACACTGGAGCATGCTCTTCAACTTGGACCCAGTGTTTCTAAAGGTTCGTTCCCCCTCGCAATATAGCTATCAAAATTTCTATGCCTTGTTTTATGTCATACAGTCACCATGGATGCAAGTAGTTCTATCCAATAATGTCTGTAATTTTCTCTCTCTTCTTGATCTATGGCTACCATGGTTCATGAAAGAGTGTGGCTAAACTGAATTTCAGCGACTTTCATGCATAATACGATAATAAATGATTACCTTTTTTTATTGCAACAAGCAAGAGCAGCACGAGGTAACTGATTTTCACCCAAAAGAGCTCAGGTGTTATTGGTGTGGCATTCCTAGCTAAGGTGGCTGCATCAGGTAGGTGCATGAACATCTTTATATATCCCTGTGTACATGGGTTCTCATTCGGATTCTGGATGCTGCTGGATGAACTTGGCACTTTTTTTTTTTTTTTAAAAAGTGATCGTATTGATGTTTAATACAATGCATATTGAATCTCATGTACTGTTTGCCGACTGTACTTAAGTTGCTCCATGGAATCCTTAGCAGGGAAGCAATATAAATAATTTATTTCCTGATTGTCCTTTTTCTTACCAGGTGCGCTCAGGGAGTTCTGCTACATGGATCTGCTTACACTTCAGGGAGTACTGAAAAAGACCTGGTGTTTTCTCTGACCCTTGTAAGACCAGCTTACACTTTGCGGCTTGTGTGTGTTACTTTCAATTGCCTGTGTGATGTCAGATTATTCTGTGCTTATGGTCTGGATTAGCCATCAGTTTTATTGTTAGAATTAAGCTTGAGATGACAAACTATTGATGTACAAACTATTGATGTACTCAGGTTTCTGTTCCTGTAGTTTTAGAATTTTAGCTGTTAGATAACAGACATGTCGGGAAGGTATCTGCAGGGCATACATGGTTTGATATATGTTTTCCTTTTGCGATTCGTGTTATCCTACATGGTGCTTGAAATGTTAGTTGTTCTGATCTGACACATTTGTTACTTGTTAAAAACACTGTTGCACAGTCAAATTTGTTTTAAGACACTGAAATTCACATAACTGAAACCTCAGTTTCTAAAGAAATTGTAAATATATGGTACAGTGGCTTATGAAATACATGCAAGTGTGCTTATTACCTGAAGATCTTAGCTCTTTGCTATACTTGTAAAGCTCTCCTGTAGTAAGCATTGATACTTATTGGGACATGTTTATTTGGTTACAAGCAGGAGCAATTGCCAAGTGGGGATAGCAGGAAGGCTGGCAATGAGGCAACATCTATTCCGTTGGATTTATACTTATATATATGTATATTGTTGTGATGTGAACATATCATACTTTTTATCTTAATAAAAGGGAGCAGCAAACCTATGTCATTTAGGACAGTACTGAGGATCGTCATTCAGGAATGAGAACCTAAACAAATGTACTGATATTTGGAGATGAAAACTTATGTCTGTTAAGTTTTGATGCATCCCATGTTAATGTGTGCTCTTATTGTTAATGTGCTAATTTGATATTGGTAGAAAGTCTTGCATGGATACCTTGGTTTTGGAGACGTTTCTAATAACGTCTCCATCAATATTTGAAGGCCTAGTGCAGATTGCCTTAAGAAGTTACTGAGGAAAATTTTAGAGTGCCTCCAAAAAGTATTCTAGGCATCCAGAAAATGCCTTTAAATGTTGATATTAAAAGGCATTATGGAAAAGCGCCTCAAAAGACCTTTTACTTCCATGTTATAAGCGGCATTTTAGAAAATGCCTTAAAAGGTCTTTGAAGACGATTTGACCACTTTTGGAGGCGTTTGTAAACACCTTGTACAAAGAGCAATGTTGTAGTGATAGTGCAGAAGAGTTTCATCCCTATGATACTCTCTCTGCTCTCATGAAACTCTTATCATCTCTCTCTTCATTAATACGGTGTCACATCAGCATATTTAATGGCCATGAAACTCTGATAAAATCCCATTAAGACAGGCCTTAGCAATCGGCTAGTAATTTTGTTGGATATATCCCGATGTATATGGGCCATTGCGATTTTTTGTTAGAAAGATTTGGGCTAACTACTAGGTTTATGTTATGTACAACTTGTGGGCTTTATCACTTATAGCATCGTTCGGTGCCTTTGTAAGCCCAGCCCACTAGAAACTGTTGTTTATAATTTGTGATGCTTCCATCCATTTTTGTCCGATTAAATTGTTGTGTGCATAACTTATATAGGGACCAAAATAAAAGTCCTTTTTTCTAAAAGAGAAACTGTTCTCCATCTGTGTTCACTGTTCTTGTGCCAATGTTCCCGATCTTTTTATAGGCAACGAAGACGCGAGTAATTCATTTTGAACACGATTTGGATTGTTGAATTTGAAATATTATCAATCTAAGTCACACGATACGTGCAGATGGATGCATCCATTACAGTTTGGCTTTCAAAAGGCACCAAATTCAGATGAAACAATTTGAGACCTACGAAAACATAGAAAGCTCAAAGCATTCAAATTCTAACACCATAATAAGCTGCATGCCCGGCATTCAAATTCTAACACAATTTATGAAAGCATCCTTAATCGCAGTAGTCCCTACTTGTACAAGATCACACTTGCTTCGGTAGGTAAAGAAACGAGCGGCCTGAGTCCTGATCCGATCGATGGAGTGCAGCGCTAGCAACGGGAACCAAGAACGATGTCGGCATGGGAAGCATGCCAGGCTCCGGCGCGGCGACGGCGAAGCCCGGTCCAGCATACATGGCCCGCGGCTTCCATAGTATCTCCTCCTCCTCCGCGTCCATGTCGTTGCTGCCACTGCCAGTACTGCTGCTCTCGCCATCGTCGAGCAACTCGGCCTGCTGCTGGCAGCGCTTCTTGTGCACGTCCCAGCGCTCTCCAGACGATGACGAGTGGCTGATCGGCCACTTGCTGCTACTTACGAGGGAAGAGGTGCCTGAAGACGACGACGACGAAGAAGCTGGGATTGCCGCCTTTTTGTGCGCGTCCCATCGCTCAGCGGAGTCGGCCCGGCCGGGCTTGGGCGGCGAGATCGCGCTATTGCGGGAGGATCCACGTCCGGCGCTGCTCACGCTGTCGGCGGAACGAGGGCTTGATGAGGCTGAGGATTCTGTGCTGGCCGGCTTGGCCTTGTGCGCGTCCCACCTCTCGTCGGAGTCGGCGCGGCTGGGCTTGGTGAACGGCTTTGGGATTGGGAGGATGGCGGCGAGGCACGGCATCGGGAGTAGCGGTAGCATCTTCCACTTGGGCGGGGTCGGGTGCAGCGCCGGGAGAGCTGCGTGTGCCACCTTGAGGTGCACGCGGGCAACCGGTACGGCCATGGTGGATCCAAGACGTACGGAGACGCACACGATCGGGAAGCGCCTCAAGTGAAAAGAGGAGACGAAGCGAAGAGGCGATGATGAGATGATCGCCGGAAGAAGCAGCAGCAGATATATATAGGCTAGGCCCCAGGGACGCCGGACGCTAGTCGGTGGTATCATCAGGTGAGTCCGATCGGAGTCATACGAATTCGATCATGCACCATCATGCATGCCGCGTGGGCGCCACGCCATCTCTGTTCGACTCGGTTTCGGTGCTCGATCCAACGCTGTGGCGCTGTGCACAGGAGATGGCGGCAGCGGTCTGTTCGAGAATCAAGCAAGCCTCCGCGGCGCCGCCGACTGCGCCGTGGTCCGCGAGTGTGCGCGGTTGCTCCAAGCGCGGACGCCACTCTCTCCCCTTACGATCACGAAGTGTTCGACGCCGCGCTCCGTCCGCGACAACAGTGTGGCATCAGCTTCCAAACACGCGGCCGCCAGCGGCGGGGACCTTTGTTCCCGTGTGCTGTGTGCAGGACGCCAACTCGCTGGCTCATCCACATCACCGACTGCCTTTCATGGCTCCATGCTTGAGATGGCAAAATCTTAACACGTGCGTGGAAAAAAATTGGTAATCTGTCCTGCCGACTCACCCTGCCCGCGCGCGCCCACGCTCACACGGATTCGCCCCGCCCGCCGTGCGTCCCGCCCACGTCACCCGCGCGGATTCGCCCCACCCACCGCGACCGTCTCCATCCGCTCTTGCCGCGGCCGTCTTCACTGTGCCGCCCGCTTGCCCGGACTCGTTCCGTGGGGCCGCCTCCATGCGGATTCGCCTAGACTCATCCCGCCTGCCGTGGGCACACTACGACAGTATTAGTTTTCCTAGGCTGGCGTTTTACATTTGTGTAGGTGGGTATTGTGCCCGCTTGCTTCCAAAGGACCGCGTAAATAAAAAACTATGCATGCGGTCAAATAGTCCGCCTCCGTAAATGACTGCTCCTAAGGGGGGCACGGTACAACACGCCTGCCTCCTTAAATGCTTACTCTTGAGGCGGGCAGGGTAAAAGGCGGTCACCTGCCATGCTAGTTCGCCTGCTCCGTAAAATGCTTACCTCCATCCGCCTGCTACGGCCCGCCGCCAGACCGGACTCGTCCGGCCTATCATGGGGCACCTCCATCCGCCTGCCGCGGTCATCTCCACCGCGCTAGTTCTCCGTGCCGCCCGCCCAGGTTGCACTAAAAGCACATGTTGCAAACGTATATTTAAGTGTTTCAAAGGTATATATGTCGCAAGTGTTTCATATGGATGTTACAAAAGTAGGTCCAGATGTTGCATATGTTGCAATGGCTATACACGTATGTTTCACGTGGCTGATCAAAATGTGTTTCATTTGTTTCAGATGTATGTTGCAAGTGTTTTATCTAGATGTTGCATATGTTTCACACATATATTGTATTGGCTACACACATGATTCAAGTGTATGTTCTAAATGTTTCAGCTATTTCAGACGTATGTTGCAGCAAGTGTTTCATGTTTTCAAGCGTATACTGTTGGATGGGACGCCAGAGTCATGCGACGCGCATCCGCAGACGAGGCGCGTGGATTCACGTGTGCGGGCGCCATACGGAGTAGGCGCGGGCAGTCCTCGTGTGCGCACGAAAACGATGCGCGGGAAACAAAGTGGACGCAGGCGGTCCCCACATTCACGAGTGAAACAGAGCAGGCGCGACGGTTCCCACGTGCATGCATGAAAAGGACCAGGCACGGGCATCCGGACACGGGTGTCCGTCCGGCGTCTGGGCGCTAGCTCTACCGAAGTACAATATTCTATACACTCTCCTGTGTCCTTTTAACCCATAGCGATCAGGGAACATAATAAACCACCATTCCTTGCATAAATAGATTCTAGTTTTGGAACCACCTGAACAGGAATCTATTCTTTAAGATGTGCCATAGTGTCTGGATACTGGTCGACGTCATGTGATTGCTACTAAAGATAGAGTTTCATTGGAAAATCCAAGGCCAGTTCAAAGAAGTCTTTCTGTGATATGCACAACATCCCTGCGTGCAGCACCACTCAGGAGCAATCGATTGATGTGTTGATGGGCTGTGCTGCGTGCCGTGAAAACACTGGGCTAGAAGATGGGCCAAGGCCTGCGTGTTGCATGCAAGGATTAGGAAACATCAATGAGGATGAATCGACGGAAATAGAGCCGGCTATGCATCACGAGTGCATAGAATTTTTTTCCACGTTTGTAGTGACTGCAAGAGGTGCATAACGACATGTGTCAACGCACGATTGGACCAAACTTTCGTCCACGTCTTCTTCTTTCTCCCATTTGGGTTAAGGATTTAGAGGACCTCCATGCCCAACGGCCTTAGAAGGGGAAGGGGCATTGTAGCGGTGCCGGACTGGTGGTAAAGACGGTTCGACGAGCGGTGAGAGCGGCAAGGGCTAGGGAGCTGACCGACCACAACGTTTTGGATGGACAGAGGCTACGTCGGGGTAGTAGGATGTGGACGGTGCGGACATCGGTGACCTGAGCGGCGGTCGAGGTGGCGACAGTAGAGCATCATGGTGGGAAGAGAGAAAGGAGCAAACGTTAGGGAAGTGCAAGCTGAGGCGGCGGTGGGAGGTGAGTGATGGGGTTGTGGATGGGCCATCGTGTGACTTTGAAGAAGCTCTTTTTACCTTCAACTATCGTCATGATCTAATCTTCCTACTCGAACACTAAAATTGAATATCTCCCCATCAACTCCAAATTGTTTAAATTTCCTCTCTACCATTTAGATGTCATAAGGCGGTTCCATCCTTTTTAGTTAAAAAAATGGGTAAATACTGTTTTTAAATTAAAATATATGTATATATGAGCTTCTAAAATTTTGAGAAAAATCTTATATGTATTAGAACACGACAAACCCAAATAAAATATTTAGAGTTCATGAAAAATATCTCTACAAGCTTCCAAACATCATATTCTGCTCTAGAAAAAATCTAAAAAGTTCCCAAAATGTTCTAATCGATGTTCAAATGCATTTTCAAAAGTTTCTACAACAAAAACACAAGACCAACATGAATGCGCTTAACATCAAATGTGTGTTGCATTCATGCTGGTTGCATCTCATATTTTTTATGGAATATTTTTAAAACACATTAAGACATCAATTAGAATAATGTTCTAAGAATTTTCTAGATACTAGTGAAAATGCACATGCGACATGCACGTGTTTATAAAAATATTTGTTTTGAAAAGTTAGAGATGTTTTATATCAACTAAAAGGATAAAAATGGTAAATAGTTGCTCTACAGTATAAATTAAATACACTAATTTATTGAGTTGAACATATCCATCAGTAACTATATCTCATGCTAACAAGCCTCCAAGGGTATCAGATCTGAATTCATGAAAGCCATCATACCAACAAGGTTAGGATGTGCTCCATATCCAGAAGGTCATCATACAAAAGGACCAAGGTCCATTGCTCTGCTCTCTAGGTTTCGAGCCTCAAGTAAATTCTGCATGTGTCAATTGTCAAATGAGAAGAATGCCATGTCAATATGTGCTTCCATGATATATCAAGATTCATGAATGAATTTATTTTTTTTTATCATGAGGAATTTATCTAGTCCACACTGAACCAATCTAACCTCATATGTACATTCTCAAAAAACTGAACTGCTTGTCTTCATCCTATCTTTGCTCCATAAAATGAGCTGAGCTTCATATGTAATGTAAGACTGAACCTAGACTGTGTTTTGAACTCTCTAGGTGATTACTATTTTCATAGTTGCTTTGGCATCTGTTTGCGCTCAACATCTATCAATGTCAACAGTTGACTCATCCTGAAGAGTTTACAAATGTAAACCATGTCAACAATACTACTGCTTCTTGCATCAATAATCTTTTTACAAGATATTAGAGCAACTCCATCCCAAGATTCCATAAGTGTATTAAACAATCACTGCATAAGAGGCTATGACAATCACTGCATAAATAGCATAAGAGCTTTCAGTTTTTGTTGCATAACAAACAAACACTAACCAGATCATGCGTGTGAACCTTGACAGATTGCTACCTGAAAATCTCATCAATTTTTTCTTTGTTATGCTTGCTCTAAAACCCATTTTTTCCCAAATGAAGCCATTTAAATAATCACAGTGCATGCAAAATAGCATAAAGGTTTCAGTTTTCCCAATGTTGCATAGCAAACAAACACTAACCAGATCGTGCATGTGGACCGAAACCATTTTCCCCCCAAATGAAGCCATTTCAATAATTGCAGTCATGCAAATATAATATTGATGTATATTGATTTGAGAGAAGATAATCCAAACATTTGCAGAGAACACACCAATCGATCTGCTGTGATTTCATCATCCCTGTGAATCTGATGGCTTTCCTCTGACACGTTGGCATCCTGGCACTATTATTCAGAAGGTTTTCAAGAGAGATAAGGTCACTACAACGACAGAACACACACTGGTAATACCCCAACGAAATAAGTATGCATACAGAGCAGAAGCACTAACCAATGTACCGGATCCAATATCCGTGTGCTGCCTGCACTCAAGTTCTCATCGGACTGATTAAGCTTCTGCACCAATGAGCTACCCTGAACCTCTAAATTTGAACAGATTTTGCATGTAAAATTTCACCTGAAAAGGGAAGAATCTAAGACCTCACTTTCCAACAATGAATGCGATAGATGACAACTCACCTCCCCATCCTCTACAACTTTGCCATCCAAACCCTCTTCTTTCCTGCAAATAATTCTTTTCAGCTCCAACGCCCAGGAAACTTTACAGATCATATTCAATTTAATAAATTATAATAGATAAAACTTAACACATTTCAAAGCGGATCTGCACAGATGTGAGACGTACGCTGGCAGATGGCGATCAGGCTTGTCCACGGCATCCTTCTTGTCCAGGCAACCACCTGAGATGTAACTTTCAAAAGATCATCTTAACACTCATGTTTTGTTAGATAAGGTAAGGCCCTGAGAATCATGGGCAGTTGCAAAGCGACGCTAAGATAGATATACTACAAAGTATAAAAATGAAACTATTTTCGTGATAATAATGTGTGGCTTCATATTACTATATGAATGGATAGCATGCCTAAAAATGACAAGAATTGGTTCAAGAAAAAAAAAGTAGACCATAGGAATCAGATTAATCTGTAGTGTAAAACACTGGCAAGTGATGGAGACAAAGAGCCATGCATTGTTTACCTGAAAAGGGCAGGGAACCAGATCGCCCAACAATGAACAATGCATCCCTTGCATCCGCTGCATCAATGGAATAGTACACCGACAATTCAAAGATTAATTTATCTAACTAAACATTTATCGATCTCTAGTCCAAACTTAGCAGCCAGCCATAAACAAACACGAGACGATGAGATCAAACCATGATTGAATCCCGTTCACAAACACAAAACGGAAATTCAGGCTGCCATGAGGCAGGTGACTTGGGCAGTGGCGGTGGCGCCATGACCTACGTGTGGTTAACTGACCTTGATCTGGAAGATGGCGTCACGGAGACAACCCTCCGGCTTCAGCCTTCGCGTCAGTCGGACGCTCGGTGATTGCGGCAGTCGTACACTAGCACGGGATGGGGATGGAGCCAGCCGTCGGCGGCACTGCAGCTGCCGGTGATGACCGTCGTGTCGCGCCCTCGCCGACCAGGCCGACGTTCCGGAACCTCCACGTTCTCCTAAAAAAAAGCACTCACGTTTAGGCTTTCTGGTGACGGTGGAAGCGGCGGCGGGGGCAGTACCAGTCGCCGGCGGGGACGCGCGGCAGAAGATGTGGAACCCGCGGTCGCACCCGTCGCACAGCATCAGCTCCGTGGCCGCATCTCCGGACCAGCATGCCGCCGCGCCATGATCCAATGGCCCATGCCTCAATCTGTGTCCGCGCCGCCTCAGAGCCGCGGACGAGTGGACGAAGCCGGCAGGCCCCACCGGGTTAATTCGCTGTCCACGTCGCATCGCTGTCTCCATCTCCGTGACTGGTGACCGGTGTGCAGCGTGATACGGTGCCGCCGACGCGTGGGGGAGGGAGGGAAGCGGTTGCAGTGGCGTCGCAGATCAGGAGAGGGAAGTGCGCTTTTGGGACGGGCGCCCGCTCGAGTTCGCAGATGGGGAGGCCGAGGCGGCGTCTGCGTCCTGGTGATTCGGGAAGAGGGGTGGATGTGGGTACGCGCGGCGGGTATGGAATCATCGTCGGTGATAAAAAATCGAGGGAAGTCACGCGCAGGAAGAGAGAAACATTTATCATTATTTCTAGAGGTGAGTACCATTTTTTGAAGCTTCTAAAGATATTTTCATGAGATATTTTAGTTCGATTCATATATCTCTGTGATTCTTGAAATTTTTAGAAGCCTAGATACAATTTTTGTGGTTTAAAAACTCAACTCGGTATTTTCTAGATTTTTTTAACTAAAGAAGGATGAGTTCAAAACTATTTCTATGTAAGGCATTTAGGTAATTTAACAGGTTATGAGAGTTGAGGGAGATGTCCAGTTTTAGAGTTGGTGAAGAAAATCAGACCACAGTGATAGTTCAAGAGGTAAATGGAACTTTTTCCGTGCGACCATTTGGTAGAAATATTTGGTCTCATTTTTTTTTAAATGGTCTTATGGGTTTACGTTTTGTACAACTTGTGAACTTGTTTATGTTTATGTGGTGGTAGCAGCGTGCAACCTCTCCCATGTAACAGCCTCGTTCGGATCAGAAAGTGTTCTTCTTTGTGATGCTTCTATCCATTCTTCTCCACCGGCCGTACGTCAGTACTTGTGCCAATGTTCCTCTTTAAGTAGGCAAAGACGCGAGTAATTCATTTTGAACAGGACACACGAGTGGAGTGCTGAAATTGAAACATAATCAATCAAGAATTCAAGATGACACTTGCAGATGGATGCATCCATTTACAGTTTGAGCTTGCAAAAGGCACCAAATTCAGATGAAATCTAAGACTTACACAAACACACAAAGGATTCAAATTCTAACGCCATAAGCAATTAGTCGAAGTAGCACCCCTACATGATCACACATGCTTAGGTAGCTGAAGGAACCAGCAGCGACCTGAGTCCTGACTCCTGAACCGATCGATGAGTTCGTACAGTACAGCGCTATGCAACGGGAACCAAGAACGATGTCGGCATGGGAAGCATGCTGGGTTCCGGCGCGGCGACGACGAAGCCCGGTCCAGCGTACATGGTCCGCGGCTTCCATACTATCTCCTCCTCCTCCATGTCGATGTCGTTGCTGCCAGTACTGCTGCTCTCGCCGTCGTCGAGCAACTCGTCCTGCGGCGGGCAGCGCTTCTTGTGCACGTCCCAGCGCTCGGCGGATGATGCGCGGCTGATCGAGCACTTGCTGCTTACGAGGGAAGGCATGCCTGACGACGACGACGAAGAAGCTAGGATCGTCGCCGCCTTCTTGTGCGCGTCCCATCGCTCAGCGGAGTTGGCCCGGCCGGGCTTGGGCGGTGGCGATGTCGCGCTCTTGTGGGACGAGTGCTTGATGAAGCTGAGGTAGCTGACTTGGTCTTGTGCGCGTCCCATCTCTCGTCGGAGTCGGCGCGGCTGGGCTTGGCGAGTGGCTTTGGGAGGATGGCGACGATGCATTGCGTGGGGAGCAGCGGCAGCATCTTCCACTTGGGCGGGGTCGGGAGCAGGGCCGGGAGAGCTGCGTGCGCCACCTTGAGGTGCACGCGGGCAACCGGGATCGCCATGGTGGATCGAAGACGAGACGTACGGAGGCGCACACGATAGAGAAGCGCCTCAGGTGAGCCGAGGAGATGATGGAGAGAGGCGATGGCGAGACGATCGCCGGTGGCAACATCTAATATATATAGGCCCCAGCTGGGGCGCCGGACGAGTCGGTGGTATCATCAGGTGAGTCAATCGGAATCGACAGATCAGAAATCATTCACCGACGTGCCTGCCGCGTGGGCCCCACGCCATCAGTGGCGGATGTAGTATAGGTGCATGGGGGTACAGCTGTACCCCCAAAATTGTTTGTACAAATACTAAGTATATATATATATATAGATAGACTAGGTAGCGTGTTTGTGTGTTGCTATGGGAACAACTAAATCTTTTGTATTAAAAACACATGGATCGCACGATAAGATAACAATACTGTTAAATTAAATACCGACGTCAAAGTGATATTTAATTCAAAAAGCAAAGTTCGTGAAATTAACACAGTCACGGAGAGCGCGACGTCGCAGATTCACAAACTCTACTGTATAGACTTTTTCGTGATACGGCTAAGATAATATTTTATATCGCCAGAAAGAATTCTACGATATCCATTTCTTTCATGCGCCAATAAATCCATGAATAAGTTCCACTGCATCTCCATATAACCATGTACACATAGGTTCGAGTATATATGTAAATAGGTTCATGTCCGTGCGTTGTTACGGGACAACTAAACTTTTGTATTAGAAACACACGGATTGTACGATAAGATAACAATACTGTAAAAATAAATGACCGACGTTAAAGTGACATTTAATCAAAAAGCTAAGTTCGTGAAATTTACACAGTCACAGAGAGCATGGCGTCGCAGGCTCACAAACTCTACTGTGTAGATCTTTCCGTGATGCGTCTAAGATCATTTTTATACCGGCAGGAAGAGATTTCCGATATCCATTTCTTTCGTGCGCCAACAAATCAACGAATAAGTTCCACCACATCTCCATACCATTCTATACAAGGCGCTGGCAAGCGAATTAGCCACAACTTATGTAATTAGTTTCATAATTAGCTCATGTTTAGTCCTCCTAATTGATATTTAAAAATTCAATGTGATAGGGACTAAAGTTTAGTCCTGGGATTCAAATACCCCCTAACTCTCGACTCCTGCTGGCTGCTCACTTGCACCACCATGCCTATGTGTCTGCACGTATATACTCTAATGCCAGAATGTCTAAGATGATCTTTATTGTCCACGCTTTGAAAATATCATAACTTTAAGATTGTCATTCGTGTATGCTGTAGGATTGGGATGCTTTGCACTGATCCATAAGGGTGTTCCTGAGAGTCAAATTTTTTGATGCCATTATGATGTCTAAGCTTACCAATCAGACAGAGACGAACTTGATTGTTAAAATATTTTCAACACTGCTTTCATATACTCCCTCTGTCACAAAATAGAATTCATTCTCGCTTTATGAGAAGTCAACTTTTTTTAAACTTCGACCAATTATATATAAAAATATTAATATTTATAATACATAATTAGTATCATTTAATAAATCATTGAATATATTTTCATAATAAACTTATTTGGAGATATAAATGTTGCACGTATTTTTTACAAACCTAGTCAAAATTGAGAAAGTTTGACCTGCACACATCCCATAACGATTTATATTTTGGGGCAGAGGAAGTATATGGTAATGGGAGTAGTCAACTAGAAGTCGTGATGAACACAACAATACTTTTATATTATATGCTAATTGGAGCACGAAGAAATGCAGGGGAATGGACCTATATATGAATGGTGGGAATATTCGTTTAGAAAATTGCAGAAGGTTCACCAGTCTCACCATGTATAACCTGCACATCTTTTAATTGGCACCACTGATGTTCTCAAGGAGCAGCCACTTTTTAATTTCAGGTCTGCATGGTGGAAACACTAAAATTAAGGGCCAACCTCATTGAGTCGTCTTGCTTGATCTTTGCAAATTGTTTCCTTCCATGCATGATTATTGTTTTCTTCCATGCATGTGGCCTCATGTGATCGATTTGTTTCCTTCAAAGTAGGCGGGGATCGCAGGGATGGCGGTTTCTTTTTCTATCGCGTAGGGTATCGCATGGCCGAAAGGGAGTCATCTTGCTTGATCTTTGCCAATTGTTTCCTTCCATGTATGATTATTATTTTCTTCCATGCATGTGGCCTCAGGTGATCGATTTGTTTCTTCAAAGTAGGCGGGGATCGTAAGGATGACAATTTCTTTTTCTATCGCGCGGGGTATCGCATGGCCGGAAGGGAGAAGCCACCCAAAAAAAAAGTCACACAAAAAAATAGTCTTACTTTTAGTCTTTTTAGTTATAGGAGAATAATATATATTATATATCTAAAACACTTTATGAAATAACAATCTCTTGGGCTCAAGTACTCATCCAAGAGGGAAAATAGCATGCAACCCTATACTCTAGCTCTTTCTTCTGAAGCTTGGGAACCCAAAACGAACCCATGCACATAACACAAGTATAAGATGGATTAATCCGGCAAATTTTTTTTGGAGAAGATTACTCTTTTTCCCCTCCAACCATCAATATAGTTTTAATTTGTGAAGTTTGAGTCTTGTTTTGTTTCATATCAAACAATTTTTGGAAAAAAAATCTTCTATAGATTACTTGATAAATAAATAATTTTATTTTTGTAGAACGTCATGGCATTAAGAAATAATGATCTAGCTTTTTCCTGTACTACTCAATAAAGCACAAAAGATTTCTTCATCCACTCTGAATAGCAAGAAACTAATGTCGGTGTTTCGAGTTGTCACCCGCTAGTAAATTTCTAATATTGCGCATCTGGCTCGGATGGTATGCTAAGGGGACACGATGTTTATACTGGTTCGGACAGAATGTCCCTACGTCCAGTTTGTTGCTGCTGCTCGTGTTACTAGCACTGAAAGTTCGTAGTAGGGGTTATAAACGGTCGAGAGAGGGACATGTCCTAAGTCTCTAGGGGAGAGGAGCGAACGGGTGCCGAGAGCTCGGTCGCTTCCCGGCTGTGTGCTCGTGTGTTCTGATTAGTTCGAGGTTCGATGGGTTCTAGTCCGAATTGATGCGATGTGTTGCGATGCCATCGATTCCCGTCCGGGCCTTTTCATGGGATGCCCTGCTTTCCCTTATATAGGCCAAGGGAAAGCACGGGTTACAGCCGAGGGAAAAAGAGGAGAATGAGAAGGAGAGGAAGTCCCGGGTCCTTCTTTTCCTTCACGCGAGTCCCACTGACCCTGTAGACGTCAACAGAGACAGCTCCACGTCACGGCCCTATCCATCACTGGTGCCATGCGCAGGCGTTGTCTCCCGGTCGTGGTGCTCCACTCCGTCCTGACGGACATCGTGGTGAACTGAGGCGCCTTTTAGTGCCCATACGAGGGTTAGTCAGAACAGCACCAGTATGCCCGACGCTGATCTTGATGTGAATCCCCAGGTATGGCCTGTCATGGCCATGGGTTATATCGGAGCATGTTGGTCACCTCCCTGGTGTCAGAGATTTGACACGGGCCCATTTGCTTGGACGTGGAGTGGTTGGCGGTATGGGTCTTCGTCAGGCGAGACGGATCCTACGACCTCGAGGTCAAGCGAGGCGGAGTCCTCCCTCAGGGGTCGGGTGAGGCGGAGTCCTCCCCCAGAGGCTGGGCAAGGCAGAGCACAGACCCAAGGGTCGAGCGAGGCGGAGCCCGCGACCTAGGGGTCGGGCGAGGCGGAGTCCTCCCCTAGAGGCCGGGCGAGGCGGAGCACAGACCCAAGGGCCAGGTGAGGCAGAGCCCGCAGCCTTAGGGTCGGGCGAGGTGGAGTCCTCCCCTAGAGGCCGGGCGAGGCAGAGCGCAGACCCAAGGGTCGAGGCGAGGCAGAGCCCGTAGCCTCGGGGTCGGACGAGGCGGTGTCCTCCCCCAGAGGCTGGGCGAGGCGGATTGCAGACCCAAGGGTCGAGCGAGGCGGAGCCCGCGGCCTTGGGGTCGGGTGAGGCGGAGTCCCCTCCCAGAGGCCGGGCAAAGTGGAACCAGCCCTCAGAGGTCGGGCAAGGCAGAGCAAGCATCCTCAGAGGTTGGGTGAGGCGGAGCGCAGACCCAAGGGTCGGGCAAGGCAAAGCGTAGACCCAAGGGTCAGATGAGGTCGAGCCTGAGGCCTCAGGGTCGGGAGAGGCGGAATCCTCCCCCAGAGGCCGGGCGAGGCGGAACCAGCCCTAGAGGTCGGGCAAGGCAGAGCCTGCAGCCTCACAGGTTGGGTGAGGCGGAGCTTGCGCACCTAGGGGTCGGTTGGAGCTATAGTCACGCTCTTGACTGCTCGAATGTATCAATGTTGATGGTTATTAGCTCCTCCTCTTCGGGTACCCTAGTTTTGGTCCCCGACAGTAGCCCCGAGCCTGCGGAGGAGTAGAATACTCCTTCGGAGGCTTTTCCGAATGGGAGGACTCTGAAGGCCTTGGCCTTCTTTTGTTGCCCACAGCGTGACCTGGGGGCGGTGATTCCCTTTCCTCGAGCCCCCTCCATAGTAGGGGCCCAGTTGAGGATCGGTTCATCTTTTGTGATTATCTTCCCTCAAGTGTTTTTTTCGATAAAAATGGAGGGGCCGAGCCATGCCACGATTTTCTTCTAAGGACGAATTATGGCACCAGGCGAGCTGTTAATGGGCTAGTCTGAGTGGGGCCCCCGGCATCCCGTTCATGGGGATTTGGCTTGGGTTAGCTTGGCAACTAACCCCAGATTCTCAGCGGTCAATCCATATAGTTCTCGGGTCCGTTCGCCCAATCCCGAGGGCTAAGTACCTTCCTTCGAAGAAAAACCATGGATCATAATCGGTCGAGACTCGAT